TATGAGCATTTAAGTTAGCAAATTTATACTAATATTATAAAAAGAGATAAAACATTTTGTAAATTGCTAAATATTAAATGCTGCACTTGTATACGTTACCGTAAACACTAGCATTGCACCGTGTCTTCCCATCGTGGTGAATTCACTAGGAATTCTCCACCATTGCCATCAAGGAAAACCTGGCTCTAAAAAAATAATAATAAGAAATTCAATTGAGTTTCTTGCCAGTTCTTCACAATTGAATCTGTGTACTGAACTGGACGGTAGGAAAAAATTATAATGTAAAAAAAATTACGTTCATAAGCAGCTATAATGTCTTACATGAATAAATTATACTTGAATTTGAATTTGACCACGTGTAGAGGGATCTGATCCCTTCCATCCGCGGTAAAACAATAGTACATCCGATTTATGCAACTTTACCGTGCTATAACCAATTCGAAGACAATGAAATCAACGAAAGACCCTGAGGGGTTAAAGCTCTTCGAATGAAGCATGTTTCCAGCCGGCGCCGCGGTGTGGAACGAGGCATGGTAACAGGAAAGCGCACTGACATTACTAACGAGGACTTCCTCGCCGAAATGGGCAGCATTAACGTTAATTAAGTCTCTAACTACATGACTACTGACTACATACGTTTATTTACTGAGCAAAGACATTACTCAGTAAACGATTACTTGAATGACGAGCGTGCATGGCAATAGTTGTTCTTGCACGGGATTTTCATTTAATGTTAGACATAGACAGACACCTGTAGTTTTACCTAAGACCCGTTTGACGAAAGTTAGTAATTCGTTTTATGGAAATTGCGTAAGGTTTTACAACAAACTCCCAGAGTCTGTACTCAATTTGCCAGAAAAAAATCAAATGTAATATTTTCTTTGTAAAAAAGCTTATTATAAAATTGGAGAATTTATAAATGATAATAATGTTTTTGTAGAAAATATCTAAATTAAAATTCATAGCGCTGACAATGTTATCTGACGTTCAGTCAGATAACATTGTCAGCGCTATGAATTTTAATACCAATTTTATAATAAACTTTGCATGCATAAAGCTACTATGACGTAGGCATTCCCTAAGAAAGGATTTTGATAAATTCCACCCCTAAGGGGATAAACTAACGCGAGCGAAGCCGCGGGCAAAAGCTAGTTACTAATATAATCACACAAATAACTGTACGTAGTAATTTTCTAAAACAAATCTTACAAAGTATAACAAATCAATAACAATTTCGATAACGATCTAGCCACATGTAATAGTGGTATAGAGAGCGTGCGTACATCACACGATGCCTTCGGGGGCTCGGGAGTACGTTTCAAATAACAGTTGGGGCCATGAGCTATTCACAACATCCTATTTATTGATACCGGAAAACATATAAACAAGATGCAATTTGTTGTTTTTAAATTTTCGTATTTATTATATGTTTTTTATATAGACTAGCTTGCACTAGCAGTGGTCAGAGCTAGTGCAACCTAGTCGAAACGTGGAGAGAGGTAAATACCTTTATTTGCCATAAAATGATTCATGTTAAGATACAAATTGCGTATCATATCGACGACCTCGGTGGTCTAGCGGTTTAGCACACCGCTTTACGTCCGATGGTCGCGGGTTCGATTCCTTGCACGGCACAAACATTTGTATTCATGAGTATAATTGTTTGTATCGGCCTGGGTGTTTTCTGTTGTATATGTATGTATTTACGAAAAAAAAAATATCTATGTATTTGTATCAGTTATCTATTACCCATAACACAAGTTTTAGCTAGCTTAACTTGGGACTAGATGGCGCTGTGTGAATTGTCCTGAGATTATTATTATTATTATACCCATCGTAATTACGATGTTGTTTTTATTAGATATTTGAACATAATAGTGGCCTCAGTAGTCTAGCGGTTTAAGTACACCGCCATACTTCTTATAGTCGCGTGTTCGATTCCTCGCACAGTACAACCATTTGCATTTATAAGCGTGATTCTTTTTATTGGCGTGGAAGTATTGAGTTGGTTGTTTTAGAAACTGACAAACATTGCAAGGCATTTATTTAAATCATTTCTCGCTACCAGCCTACGGCTAGACTTCTGTGAAGGAAATGGACGTAGGTAATTTTTCATCCCGGTCTATGATAGTAATTCGGACAAGGTCGACGATAAGTGCTAGTATAATCGGAGCGAGTCGCTTCGCCTACAGTTCAAATTCTGTAACTGACGACCTTGTGTGACGACGTTACATTGTTCATTTTATTATATATACATTTAAATATACTCGATTCGATTCTTTTTTCTGTGACTTTTTAATAAATACGTTTGAGGGTGCGCACGATTTTATTAGTACTCTATTACTGCAGTCGGGCTCAAACGATCACGATGACACTCGGCGTTGCATATCGAATTGTGCATTCTCTGACATTGCGAAAACAAATCGGTGTTTAATTGTTCCATCCTTTATTAAAATAGTAGTTGCGCCCGGGACTTCGTCGTAAATATTTAATAAACTAACCTAAAAAGACTAAAGAAAATGTTTCATCTTTCTAGCTTCAAAAATGACGAATTTCCATAAAAACTTTCATCCCCTATTTTATTTTATTCCCTTATGGGTACATTTTTAACCAACTTTGTATATAATATTTAATCAATGCCCTAAAAAATAAGTTTCATGCTTATAGTTTTAAAATGACGATTCTTCTATACAACATCGCATCTCCCCTGTCAACCCATTACAACCCTCTTTTCGCATTAAAAATTAACCTATGTATGTCCTTTTCTTAGGGTCTATACTATCTGTGTACCAAATATCATTTAAATCGGTTCAGTAGTTTTGGCATGAGTGTGAGACAGTCAGACAGACTTTCGCATTTATAATATGACATACATCTATTTTCTAATAACTTCATATTAAAGAGACATCACTTAAGTAGTCCCTTTTTTGACTCAAGATAAAATATTAAATAATGATAAGGAAGTAAAGATCATTATATAGGTACCATTTATTCTACCGTAAAATGTAAATTACAAAATGAACGATGTTCACACACCGACACCAGTATTAACATATGTAATATACGCGTCACTTTCTCTACGATCAATCAAATATAACTATAATCAACACGACAACGCGTTTTCATTATAATTATACATTATGACGAACTGGAAATAAAATAATTATATTAATGAGCGTTTTAGAATTATATGTTTTCTTATGTAAAGAGGATTTGATGTTTTTGCTTGCAATGTATGAACTCAAAAGAATCCTTAATCCAATTTAAAACTCTTTTTAGGCGAACTCAAAAGAACCCTTAATTAAAATACTTTCACCTATACTGTAGCCAGTCCCTAAACTAAACTAAACAACAACCCATCCCTTCTTTGCACGTATATGTAAGTGTAGTCTAATGTAAGTCTTTGAATTTCTTGATTTGTTCTACACTATATATCACGGGCGTACATGTATCATATAGAATTATTCAGAATAAGCCAGGAAATTCGAATACAAGCTTGTAATAGAATTATAATACGTACATTGTACATATAAACCGTCCTCTTGAATCACTCTATCTATTGCTACAATGTGCATTAAAATCCGTTTCGTAATTTAAAAGATATAAGAGTACATATAGCGGAGGCCACTTTGTTTTATAGAAATAGAAATAGAAATAGAAATAATCTTTATTCAAATAAACTCATTACAAGCACTTTTGAATAGTCATATTTTGATTCTACCACTTATTCGGAATGCAGATTCATCACAAGAAGAATGAGCAAGAAACTTGTGTGTTGCTCTTTTTAATAGATGTTTTTTTTTTATATAAATTATTACAGTATAACAAGTAAGAGGCATGCGATAATCAACATAGAAGTCGCTACGCACTCATTATTAATGTAATCAGATAATATTGTCAGTGCTATGGATTTAAAGTTTTTCTATAAAAACATTATTATCGTTAACGAATTCTTCAATTTTATAGTAAGCTTTTTTGCAAAGGAACTGTTTTATTTGACATTTAAATCTTTTTTCTGACAGATTATGCAAAGATTAAAACAAACCATATAGCACGATAACAAGTGCTTCAAACTTTCACATAATTCATTTACTGTATAGTTTAGATCAAATCAAAAATAATGTATTCATATAGGACATTTTAGCCGCTTATGAACGTATTTTTTTTTTGTATTTTTTATGTTTTCCCAACCGCCCAGTTCAATATTAAAGTTAAAGATTCAATTGAGAAGAACTGGTAAGAAATTCAACAGTTATTTTATAACTAGTTTAATATAAAGATTCCATTGAAAAGAACTGGTAAGAAACTCGTCACATTTTTTAATAGTCAGTTTTTTTACATTATATATTTATATAGGTATCTATGTCTAACATTAAGTGAAAATCCCATGCATGAACGTTTGTCGTTATGACGACAAAATAAAAAGTGTCCTAATAAGAAACACTGTTATCAAGAAATCTTACCATAATGAAGATGCCATGTAGCGTCTGATTAGAAAACATCACCAGATCGGCACACGTCACGCAACCTCGCTACTGATGCCTATAAAACATTGTACACACAATCACGCAATTTGATATTACTGGAAAACCCATGAGATAGACAGAGAAAAAATAACCCAATTCCTTCGGAGATAATCGTTATGAATGACATCAATATTTTCACTTATTTTCCCGGATGCTGCGAGAGGTGTTTAAAATTTCATAAAAATCGGTCAAGCTGTTTCAGAGGAGTGTGGGGTCGGTAGTAATTATAATGTAAATAAAATAGACCCTCAGCAAATGATAAATGTATATTAAGGAAAATTATATAAATCGATACTAGAAAATATTATTACAATTATAGTTGTATGTAGCGAGTGACGGATGACGTGAGAATATTTTATAGGTGAAATATGGAACGTGTCTGTCTTGTCTGTTATATATATATATATATATATATATATATATATATATTATATTATTTTATATAAATATATATATATACTTCTTTTGATGCAGATGGCGAGTATAGAAGTGTCACTGGCCGGATCGAGGCGGCGCAGCGCTGGCGCTCGGGACATATCCCGCGAGTTGGATGCACTGCGGGCGGCCCTCGGGGACAAGGATACACTCATACAGAAGTAAGTATGGTCTCTAATGCATGGATATGAAAATGACGCTACTATGCACGCACTAATGGTATACGCTAGCGGAACCAATAGGAAATGGAATGACCATGTTATAGTTTGTAATAGTAGTAGGGCAAAAGAACTGAGACATCGGGCTGTTCGTGATGTCACTAATGGCAGGCACACCAGCGCCGTGACAGTTAGCTGACATGGTAAATGCTGAGTGTCAGCCATGTTGCCAACTATATATACAAAATTGTATATAAACATTTTTTTTTCTTTGGCAAAAGGCTAGGCAAAAAACATCTTTTTTAGTGCCATAATAGGCAATATTATGCATCTCGAAATAATTCCGCACTAACGGTAGATTTGACACATCATAAGAGTCTGTAATAGACCTATATGAATAAAGATATCTTTCATTTGAATTGTTTGTTTTTAGTCTGAAAAAGCAACTGAGTGCATCTCTAAGCGCTGCCCGTCTCGCTACATCAGCTACCACGCCTCCAGCATCCCGCGCCGGCACAGAGGAATACGCTGCTTCGCTTTCAGCGGACGAGAGGAGAGCGCTTGAGGAACGCGCAGCAGCTGTACGCAGCGATCTCGAGACTAAACGCGCCAATATTCAGGAGCTAAGGAAGCGGTTGGATAAGACACATGTCACTGAGTGAGTCTGTTTGTATTTGCGAACAATTCAAATAAATTATATGAATTTATTTATGCACGGTTTCCGTTCCATTCTCTAATATAATTATATTAACTAAATGTTTTATGTTGAGAAAAGAGATGGATGGACTGTGTGAAAGATGACATGGTAAGAAAGGAGGTAAATAACGCGATGACTGCGAACAGGGATGAATGGAAGCGAAGAACATATTACGCCGACCCCAAATAAATGGGATAAGGAAGAAGCAGATGATGATGATGATGATGATGTTTACTATAGAAAGTTCTAGAATATGAAAAAAAGAAATTGATGTATATAATAATAAATACTTTCGAATTTATATTATTAATAAACTATTATTACAAAATTTAGAACATAAAATTCTTAGTCATTCACAATAATAGCCATAGCAACACTTACTGCTACTGCACTGCTGCAACAGATCATCTACTATAGCGAGGCGGGGCATTACTCGGGTGGAACAAGTTATTTTTTTTTTACTAATAACATTTTTTTGTTTGAAATTAAAATACAGGGTGCATTTTAATTTCAAACAATTATAGTTAATGTCTATCTCTGAAATTATTATAAAAATCGTTTAAATATTATCAGAGTTTTGTGTACTTCAAACTTAATATAAAAAAAAAAATTTCTATTTATAGTTATTATCCTTTACACATTACATAGAAATAATAAATATTATTAACTTTTTTCACCAAAATATATACAGAAAATGTCATACATAAACCGCAAAACTGTCTGACAGTTTGTCGGCAGCAAAGTACAGTTAGAACCTACAGCGACGTGAGTAGTTTACTATAGTAATAGTTTAAAATTATTATTTATATTTCGGTGAAAATTGTTGAATTTCAAAATTATTCTAACACAACATTCTAAAGCTATATTAACACCAAATGTATACTTCCAGTAACATAGATACCCGAATTCAACAAGCGGAACTGCAGTACAAGCTGGGGCGCGAGGAGTTGGAGCTGCTGACCCTCGGCGAGCAGGCGCGGGCGCTGGCACAACTCATCGAGCAAGCAGACGCTGCCTCCAAAAGGAATGACCGCATCACGCTTTACAGGTATGAATCTTATTTACATCTGTTCCGTATTCCGAACCTCCTTAGTCTAAACAGGTTGTTGCTGAAGGTTTGCTTACTGAAGCAAAGGGCGCTTGGTAATACTGGCCACAAATAAATACATGTGGCCACTTAATTCTCAATTTAGAATAAAAAAACAATTGAACCATATTTTTTACTTTATAAAACAAGAAAATTGAATGAATGAATGAATGAATGAAACTCTTTATTATTCCTCTCACAGAAATCAATGTATAAAATGATAAAAAGGAAACAGTAAACAAGACAAAGAGGTAACAATGGGCGGCCTTATCGCTAAAAAGTGATCTCTTCCATGCAACCTTAGGATGGAGAGAAGTGATTAGATTTGCGTCTGGTAGAGGTGTAATGATGGTATCAATATTGGAAGAAATGTTATAAATATACATAGAACATAATACAATACAAAATAATATAATAAACTTACATATTCATACATATATATGAATATATATACAATCATTATATGTAACATATTACAGTAATACTACTATGAAAATTATTGATTTCATTATTATAATATAATTGTTTTTATGAAAATATACACTCTGGAGTGCGTGGCCACTAAACAGTACTGCACATGGGGACGTTCCTGAGCCTTTGCTCAGGTTGGTATTACATTAGTTACTTTGGGTTGTTCGGAGTGTGGCAGACTTTCTTCCTGGGGAAATCGTATTTCTCCTTCCTTTACCATTAATTATTTTCTTTTCGATATATAAAGTCCACTTTCTATTTTATTCATTACTTTTATTAGGATTCTATGGATTATAAGGATATGGATTATACGGATTCGTAATCCAACATCAGAGAGGCAGATTTTACCAAGCAGAATAGCAAATGCCGCTACACATCCTATGTGGTTGTAGCCCTCTCATGCATAAACGAAATATCTCCTTTGGAAATTATACACTATATCCTGAGGAGATAAAAACCATCGCTCCTAAGAATATCCTTCAATTCTTGTCCCTCACGGGTCCCTCACATCTTGGTACCGAACTTTGAATGAGGGCGAGCACAATAGATGAGGTCGCAGTGTTACAGGTTTTAGCATCTGACAATAGCCCAAACACTCCAGTTAATAAATATTACTTCAAGGATAAGATAATATTACATACATCAATTCATCTAAAACTAGTGTAGAGCGTAACAGTCGTACAGACCAATGATTTCCTGCTCCGTCTTACAAAGTTCGTGAGTTCAGAAATAATTGACTCCAAAAATAAACCTTTAAGCGGCTATTGTTGTATAGTTTAAACTCTTCTGTGATTTCTTGCCACTTTATGAACATGAAAATACATTCATGAATATCCTTACCATATCCAGTTCTGTTTGCTACATCAGATGAGAGAAACTACTAAGTGAATTGGTACATTTTTTAAACAATCTTTTAAGTAAAATTAATGAAAAATATTGAACTAAGAAAAACTGCGCAAATATTATGCATTAGAGTATTCTTTTACAATAAAAATAACATTTATTCAAATATACTTAATATAGGCAATTTTGTATAAAAATCTTGCAATAAAATAGTAATTTATTCTATCACTCATCGCAAAAGAACTTGCTTGTGGCTCCTTTCTTTAATAAATCTTGTTCAGATGTTTAGTTTTTAGACTTCGTGTAATAAATACATACTGCCAAAAAGAAAAATTGAAACAAAAGTAAATAAATAGCTACTTGAGTAATAAAATAACATTAGAGTGTCTTCTAAAATACATTATCCATTACTATTCTTATTGTACACCGAGATTAGAGACGATTTACACTAGATTATGTCTCGATAACAGGAGGCATCCATTGTACTAAAACACTACCGTGTTCCACGCGTTATCTTGAGACACAACATCAGCCAACGTCGTGTGACTACTTGACCTGTCGTCACATCAACTCAAAATCTATACATATAAATAAAATTGGAGTGTCTGTTTGTAATATTAAAGTAACCTTTTTTGCACATGCATATGAATATAAATACGGTACATACACCAAAATAAATATTTTTACAATTTTTGTCTGTCTGTCTGTCTGTTTGTTCCGGCTAATCTCTGAAATGGCTTGACCGATTTTGACGGGACTTTTATTGGCAGATAGCCGATGTAATAAGGAGTAACTTAGGCTACATTTATTTTATAAATATATATATATATATATATCGGCGCTGGCATCATTCTTGATATGAGATATTCTTGACCATGTTGGTCGAGAATAACGCAAGTGACGTCAGAGTACCTAACATGACTATATCTAAAATCCTACAAAACTGCATCTGCTACGACATATATAATAATAATTATTATTATTGATTGTAGAACAAAAGGTTGGCATATCCGCAAGCAGTAGGAACATTTATACCAAGACATTATTTCAAATATAAATAAAATGGATGTTCCATCAAGTGGGCCGATAGCTTGTTTGCCATACCAATGAGTGTCCATTGGTTGACATGTAACATGTTCACAAGCTACCACTTCCGTGTAAATTGTGCCGGAGAACAGCGGATGCGCGCTCAATTTAATACCATATTTAAACCGAAAGCCGTAAAGATCACAGATAATGATGGACAGATCGTCGGTAATTCTTACAATTGTTACACCACCGGCATTGTTTGGGGGGCGGCGCCTGTACTTTCTAACCTCAAATCTCTGGGAACAATCTGGAATAGCCGCTTCGTAGAAAGTGACTGCTAATTCGCGCCCTGTTATTATATTTTCATCGAGTCAGTAGTTGCTAATCACTGATGACCTCAGTGGTTCAGTGGTTTAGTACACCGCTTTGCTAGCGATGATCGCAGATTCTATTTCAAATATTAGTTTGAACGATTTGTTGGTGTTTTCTATATACATACATTATGTATGTATTTAGTTTGGGATGCTGTGTAAATAGTCCTGAGTTATTATTATTTTTATCTTTTCTTTTTTCTTCTTTTATCTGTTTAAAAGAAGGTAACCTAACATTACATAACTCACCCACACGGGCCTTAACCAAGTGTGAGAGAGGTTGCGCTATGTGAAGATGTTATTATTGAGGAGTCAGAAATGTTTTCGTTATGCGACAAAGATTTAGTATTGTGGGTTTTTGTAAGAGATATGTTGTACTAGGGTGAATATTTAATGTTTGCGGACTATTTTTAAGTGTTTTGGGTACAATACCCGTATAACAAAGTACAATAGGTACAACATTATTATTATTGGAAAAAATAAAATTTAATCAAAGTAATATTATATGTAGATTTAAACGTAATAACTTTCATGTATCTATTCGTTGTAGAGATTACAATTGACCTCTTCAAATTAAAAAAAAAAATATATTACATATACTCTTATTTTTGCATAAACATAGATGAGATAATATTAAATAATATACAAGGGTTATACGAGTCTGTAACTTACGACATTGATAAAACCATAAATAAAGTTAACCGCAAAGGGCCGTCGCGGTTACAGATTAAGAGGACTATTACAAAATGATGCCGCTCAACTTTAGGTTTAATCGCATGGATTTACGCACACACACAGCAATACACGCACACAGACGCAAATAACCGTGTAGCTCAATCGGTGTGGATTTAGTATGAACCATTTTGATCCTTGTAATATTTTAATTAATAATGATATGTTTCTACTTAACTGAGACTACTTATTGGATTTTTTTAAATAACGTGATTTATCTTAATTATCAAAGTGCTAATAATGACACATATTTTTTTATTATATTATTCCTAGAGGGTTGGCGTCAGGATGCTGGCCGATTGTACAACTAAAAGCCAAAACCTTAAGTAATATGAGTAACAAATAATTGGGATAAGGACAGGAAGATGAAATTACTATAACATAAATTTATTAATTAATTCTTCTTACATATTAATTCAGTTTATTTATTAATAGATACAATATAATTTATTATAAGAGTCGGATACATTATTGCCATATTCACTTGTTCTAAATATTATACTTAGCAAATAATTATTTTATTTATATATAATAGTTGTGTTTTCAAGGCTTTGTTTTGATTTAAAGGTCCCATCCTTATATGTATATTAGGTGTGTCCGCGACTTCGTCAGCGTGGTATAATGAAATTGACCAAATAAAGGAAATATATTTAGATTATAAGAAAAAAGTTTCTTTGTTTCAATTAAACAATGACGATACTTTTATACAACCTTTCATCTCCGCTTTTAATCCCTTACAATACTTTTTTCGCACTATAAAGTAGTCTATGACCTTTCTCAGGGTATACTATCTGTGTATATGTATATCTATCTATATAGACTACCTGTGTATATATATGGTAGTGAATTTACAAGGTACAGGGGAATAACATTTGAGTTTTCAGGAATGGCAACGCATGAGGGAAACAATGTGCTGATATGAACATGGCAGGTACTGCTCATGTATATAGGCGACGGTTACCCCTTTCCATCTGGAGAGCCGTCAGCTTGTTTGCCATTCTAGGTTGTAAAAAAAAAGCTTCAACTGCTATCATTGCTGTTCCTGCATCATTGACGTCGCCGCATGATATTGGCTGATATTGCAGCTTCTCGTTCTTGGTTGGCCGATTCTTGATTCTTGATAAATAATTAATTGTTAATGTCAAACCTTTTTATAAATTATTATAAGACGCCTCATTGATTATATGTAATGAAATCACCATGAGCTATAGAGATTTTGGACAGAACCTTAAAAGACCTTAGAAACACCTCTGCTCTCATTCTCAGATTTCTGAAAGACTCTCTGTGTCATTAACATCGTCTCCCTTATGGACTTTAATTGAAAGTTTAAAACTACTGACAAATTTGAGAGCTCATTTTTATGGAAGCACAGATAGTGATTTCCCACACTAAATGCTCAAACTTGAGGAAGGAATTTCTCAAAAGCATGATCCAGTCATGAAATTTAAGCCCGCCGAACATGTGGAATGGCGTCCCATTGGATATATTGCTTACTAAAGAATTGAAAGACAATTT